AACCGGGGCAGTGTTCCCAGCCAGGTTGGCTGAAGCCTTGAGCAACCTGTTGTGGTGGGAGGTGTCCCTGCCCAGGGCAGGGGTTGGGGCTGTAAGGTCCATTCCAACCCCTAAAATTCTGTGATTCAACGGAAACATCTCTACAGAGCTCAGTGCACAACCATCTCTCTAAACATCTTCCTGACTGCACTTAATTGTGACTCTCAGTTAATTGCACTTTCAATTACCGAATTCCCTCTGTCCCTGATCAGCATCTGTTGCAGTCACTTGTATTTCGGTCACGATCAGCTGCTTTTGGAGATTTACCTAGGTGGAGCTTTGCCTTCTATTCCCATAGGGAATGACAAGGGATTGCTAATACCTTCTGATCTCCCTGCTGTGTTGTCAGTTTTTGTCCTGTGGAGTTCCTGAGTGCTCAAGCCCTTCTGTGGTAAGTGCAGCTCACTCACACCAGCACCTGATAACCTAATGATCATCCTAACCTGGCAGACCCTGCTGGTGCACAGAAGTGTGGGAGATTTTAGCTTTCCTGTCTACCCTGTAGTGTTTCCAGTGACTTTGAACTGGAAGAGATGTTCACATGGCTAGTGTTTTCACTAGCTGACTGGGGCCTGCCAAATGCCCAGCACGGACCATTGCTGGGTCTGCTGGCTTGTTGGCATGACAAGGGGGTGGTGGAGCACAGGGAAGTACCTGCTGTGGGGGTGTAGTGGGCTCCTAGCTGCCTGGGATAAAGCACCTGTAGCAGTGTGACCAGGAGAGGTGTGTGGTGTGGTTAAGGCTCTGGGGCTTTGCTAGTGTGTCCATCAGTGTTCAGTGTGCTGCAAACCTTCACAGACATGGAATCTCTGGACTAACAAGTCTTTTTGCTCGTTAACACCTCTAGCTGCTTGCAGATGCCACCCATCTGATCTGCCCAGTGGAGCTCCCTCTCCTAGGGCAGCTAAGTGTGTTGGGAATGACACGTATCCTGGAAGGTTCTCTGAGGTCTCCATACAACCTTCTCTTCTCCAGGCTGAACAGCCCCAACTCCCTCAGCCTGTCCTCACAGGGGAGATGCTCCAATCCTCTTAGCAACTTTGTGGCTCCTCCGGGCTTGCTCCCACAGTTCCATGCCCTTCTCACCTTGAGGGCACCAGAACTGTGTGCAGTATTCCAGGTGGGTCTCACCAGAGCACAGTAGAGCCCATGTGAGCCAGTGAGCACCACCAGAGCCTTTCCACACCAGAGGGAACTGCAAGGAGGGTTGTTCTACCTCCACATCACCAGCTTGGGAAATGTGCATGGAAAGCCAAGTGTTCCTCAACAAACAAGGTGGTTCTTCCTTACCTGAGCTGTATCTGCCACGCAAACAAAACATCCGGAACTGATCTGATGAAAACTTCTTCAGGAAGTCCTAAACTCCACCCACAAAAAGACAGAATGAGTGTTATGTCCATTCCTTCAGGAGCTGTTCCACTCCTGGCACGAGTTTCACGGAGTGCTTCAGACACACTAACACGACAAATAACAGTTTAAGACAGGCAAAAAGCTTTAAACTCTAGCACTGGTTTCATAATTCACTGCAAAGCACTTTTCACTGCCTTGTGGTGGACATGGTGTGTGTGTTTATATCTTGTCTTTATGTCTATCGCGTATGGAAATAGATTTGATCTATTTTAGACTTTACATCAGTGTAAGAGTTTTTGCAGGTCCTGGACAGACCTTCCCTCCTTTGGCAGAGGTATAAAAAGTTCCATGAAGGGCTTAACTTCCAAGGTGCAAAGCAACTGTACAGGGAAGAGACTGTTTCACTGGACTGGAAATCACTTTCTGGGCAGGATTAAATACTTGTGAGCTGTGTATAAGGGCAGACAAGAAAAGAGAGACCCACGGGGACAGAGATGGGTCTGAAGGCTTTGCTCCCTCAGCACAAATCACTGCAGACACAGAGGGGAAGCTTTATATGCTGCTTTTAACTCCATGCACTGCATTCCTGGTCCTTTCTCCACAACATCTGATGAGACGGGTGAGATTCCTGCACACAGAGTGAGCTGTGGGCACTTCCCTGGGGGAGACAGGGCTTAGCTCTACCCAGACAGCATCAGACGAATTACGGATGAAGCAGCTCATATACAACTTCTTTTTAAAGGGATTTTAATTAAGTCTTCCCAGAGGACAAAGGGAACATATGTGCTGGAGCAGCTTCCCAAGCTTTGCCTAAAGGAAGGAAATTACCCAATTCTAGCAAGAGGTGTCAGCAACCACAGGAGCCTCCCTAGAATGATAGAACCATCAAGGTTGGAGGAGACCTCTAAGACTGTTGAGTCTAACCGTAAATCTACACTGCAGGAGTTTAGTATTGGGCACCAACTCTGCTCCTACGAACACTTCTAGCTCAGCAGGATCCAAGTTCATAGAGTCATGTAATTTTAGGGGTTGGAATGGACCTTAGAGGTCATCCAGCCCCAACCCCCTGCCCTGGGCAGGGACACCTCCCACCACACCAGGTTGCTCAAGGCTTCATCCAACCTGGCTCTGAACATTGCCAGGGCTGGGGCAGACACCATGTCCTTCTAAGCAGTTCCAAGCAGGCCCTGAGTCTGAGCAGGTATCCCCCATCCAGATCCACAATGACAGATACCTCAGGACTAGAGAAACAAACACTTCAGGTCTTTGGCTGAACATGCTCCAAAGCTTTCTCAGAAGAGAGCTGTGATTGACATTTACATCTTACCAACACACATTTATTCAAATCAGAGAAAATTACCTTGATCGTTATGTAATTTTTTAATGACTTGGACATTTTTTCTTGACTTCCTTTAACATGCAAATGGCCTAGGATACCAAAAAAACCAAAAGATAAATCAATCAGGATAAGCAGAATCATAGAATGATCAGTCCATCCATTAACCTGTCACTGCTTGAACCCCTAAACCCTTGAATCCCAAACACTTTTCTGTAGTTATGACTTGCTGGTGGCCGTTAACAATATTTGATTTTAATCCAAAGTTTTATAGCATTGGAGGTTCAGGTTGGACATCAGGAAGAATTTCTTCACTGAAAGGATTGTGAAGCATTGGAAGGGGCTGCCCAGAGAAGTGGTGCAGTCACCATCCCTGGAAGTGTTCTGGAAATGACTCAATGCACACTGAGTGCTATGGTCTAGTTGTTCTGTTGGTGTTTGTCACAGATTGGACTTGATCTTGGAGGTCTTTTCCAACCTAAGTGAGGCCCTGGTTCTGTGGTTCAAAGTATCATATGTGTAAAGGAATTTTCTAGACATTCTCTATTTCTCCAGTCTTGGGAGACTGAGACAAAGGAGGCAGGAGGAATGCAGCTCCAGTGTCCAGCGTGAATTAGTTCATTTTGAAATACCATCTCTGAGCATTGCTGCAACTTTCAGTAGTCACAGAGACCATGGCTTTGCAGGGCTGTGGTACAGGAAAGAGGGAGTAACTCTCTTCACTGCATTTAAGAGAGTATGTAGAGCTTGGATTCAGGCCTGAAGGATAATAGAATCATGGAACCATCAAGGATGGAAGAGACCTCTAAGATCATCCAGTCTAACCATTAACCTGTCACTGCTGGAACCCCTAAACCAGTGCCACCAGCACTGCCAAGGCTCTTTGTGCCCAACACCTCTGTCCCCACTCCTCCCCCAGCCTGGAGCTGCATGGGCTGTTGTGTGCCAAGGGCAGGACCAGCACTGAGCCTAACTGTCCCTTCTGCAGTTGTCGTCAGCCACTGATCCAGTCTGTCCAGGTCTCTCTGCAGAGCTTTCCTACCCTCAGGCAGATCCACACTCCCACCCAACTGAGTGTCCTCTGCTAATGCCCTGAGGGTGCTCAATCCCCATGTCCAGATCAGCAATAGAGATGTAAAACAGGACCTGCCCCAACACTGAGCCCTGGGGAACATCACTAGTGACAGCCCTAGCTGGATTTAGCTCCATCTTGCTGTCACAGCATTTGTCCTCTCTGCCAGCAGGTGAGGGCACTTCCACCACTGCACTGGGGAGCTCAGGGTGCTCAGGAAGAACATTCAGGCTCTGAGAGAGACTGCACATCTGTAGCTCTCACAGCTCAAATACAGGCAAACTTCTCCTGGGAAGAGCCTGGGTATGATGAGGTTTTCTTTTGCAAAGGTGCCTAAATATTAACTGAACTTCAGGCAGTGAAGCTTCAAACAGTTAGACTGTGTTTACCTCAAAAGGCACAGGTAACATCTGAACTTGAACTAATACTCCTCTTCCAGAGCTTCAGTCCTGAAATGATTTCATTGAAAAATCACAGAATACAGGGATTTTCATAACTTGGCCTTGGCTCTCTTCCCAGAGTACAAGTAGTCTAAAAATAAAGTCCTTATAAGAAGATTTATCCCCAGTGTAGGGATTTTCTTCCTCTAATGGGGATTGCTCCTCCAATTCTGAGCCTGTAAAATTCTGAGGTCTGTTAGCAGAATAAATTGTTTCTGAAGCTGATTCATTTGCCCTAAATAATTCATGTCCTCATCCTCCAGCAAAATTCCTTGACTTAATGAATGTAATCTGTCAGCTCCTAAAGAACCAAAGTCTACAAATTGCCCTTGGAATTAAGTTCTCTCCCTTTGTTTTGGTTTTTTTTTAATTTTAACTGACTTCTCTTTATTTAGTTAGCATCAAAGAACATTTCCCCTATAGCTCAGAGTATAGCACAGGCTTCACTCTGCAGCTCTTCTAAAGAGTTCACAGGGACTTCTTGCCCAAAAGTACTGCTCAGCAAAGAGAGAGACTGCAGGACTGAACATGACTTGCCATTGACTTCAGCTGTCCATCCAGAACCACCATGACTCCAATAGGGAGAACTAACTACAAGGTTGTTTCCATCCATGGGAACAGCACTAGTACCACCAATGTTGTTCCAAGCACTGTAGAGCACAAACTCCACTGAAGGAAGCACTGCTGTGCCAAGGAGCAGTTCTACATGATGCCAGGCAGTGTAACATGCTGAACACAAAAGGACACTTCTGTACAGTCTACTCAGGTAGAGCCAGCAAGGTCACTTCAGGGGCAAAGATAAGGTCAGTGACATCTATGGACTATACAAAGTCACCCACATTGCATGGAAAGCAGAGAGAAGCTGCAGTTGGTCAGATCACTACAAAGGGACAAGGCACTACACAGCAGAGAAGGACCTGGGGGTCCTGGAGGACAACAGGCTGCCCATGAGTCACAGTGTGTCCCTGTGTCTAAAATGGCCATTGGGATCCTGGGATGCATTGGGAAGAGCATTGCCAGCAGGTCAGGGAGGTGATCCTGCCTCTCTGCTCAGCCCTCATGAGGACACACCTGGAGGACTGTGTCCAGTTCTGGGCTCCTCAGGACCAGAGGGACATGGAGCTCCTGGAGCAGGTCCAGGGGAGAGCAAGGAAGATGCTGAAGGGACTAGAGCACCTCAGTGATGAGGAAAGGCTGAGGGAGTTAGGGCTGTTCAGTCTCCAGAAGAGACAACTGAGAGGGACCTCATGAATGGATTCGAGTCCATGAATGGGAAGTGCCAAGAAGATGATCAGACTCTGCTCAGTAGGGAAACCAATCAAAACAAGTGGGAACAGCAACAACTGCTGCCCAGGGAGTTCCACCTGAACCTGAGGAAGGAACTTCTTTCCTGTGTAGTCACTGAGCACTGAACAGATTGCCCAGAGAGGTTGTGGATTCTCCCTCACTGGAGGTGTTCAGGGGCCATCTGGACACAACCCTGAGCTATGTGCTCTAGGGTGGCCCTGGCTGAGTTGTCTCTTCTCAAGGCTGAACAGTCCCAACTCCCTCAGCCTTTCCTCATCACTGAGGTGCTCCAGTATTGTGGGGCATAAAATGCCAAACCTAAAAAACTGAAACCATTGTATTTGTACAGCTCTCTCAGGGTGACTAACATTTCACTTACCTGAATGCAAGAAGTAGTTCCCCCACTGCTCACACTGATGATAAACCTCACACTGGGCGATTTCGTTCTCGTGATGAGGAAATGCCAGATCTATTCCCCCGGAATGGATGTCCAACTGCTTTCCAAACACTGCACTGTAATGACATTTTCCTCATCAGTAAGTAGAACACTACAAAAAGCTGTTTGTAAAAAGAAATGCAGAAAAGAGCAAGGAGAAGCAACATAAATTTGAGTGTACAATTTAATAAGCCCAGTTTTAAAACAAGACCTGTATCTCAGATATCAGAACTGCAAAAGAACTTGTATGGACAGGGCACAATTACTTCTCCTTAATTACTACTCCTTGGCAGTGCTGGTGGCACAGTTCAGTGGGAGCCAAGAGTGTGCACAGGTGGCTAAGGAGGCCAAGGGCATCTTAGCCTGGCTCCAGCAGAGTGTGGCAGCAGCACTAGGGCAGTGCTCATCCCCCTGCACTGGGCACTGGGGAGGTCCCAGCTCAGTGCTGTGCTCAGCTTTGGGCACTCACTGCCCAAAGGCCATTGAGGCACTGGAGCGAGTCCAGCCAAGGGCAACAAGGGCAGCAAAGGGCTGGAAAACATGGGGAAGGACTGAGGGAGATGAGCTTGGTTAGCCTGGAGAAGAGGCTCAGGGGTGACCTCCTGGCTCTCTGCAACTCCCTGCCAGGGCTGGAGAGAGATGGGGGAATGTGTGTCCTGCCATGGCTGCAGGGAGAGGACTAGAGGGAATTGGCCTTGAGCTGAGCCAGGGCAGAGTCAGATTGGATGTGAGGAGAAATGTTTTCCATGTGAGGGTGTTGAGGCACTGGGATACTGCCCAGGGAGGTAGTGGAGTCACCATCCCTGGAGGTGTTAAAGAGGTGTCTGGATGTGGCACTGGAGGATCTGGTTCAGGGTTTAGGGGTTCCAGCAGTGACAGGTTAATGGTTAGACTTGATGACCTGAGAGGCCTCTTCCAATGCTGTTGGTTCTACGATTCTAAGTGGAGGAAAAGCAAATGAAAGAGGTACCCTAACTTTCACCAAACCTTTGGTTCCTCAGTTTAGGTTAAAAGAGTTGCTAATCACCTGTGTGATCCTGTGTGCCACATTTCAAACACCAAGTGTCTCTCAAGAGAAGGTGCCAAAACAAATGGAGACAGTGAAGTTTATTTGGGCCTCGTGTGACATCCCAAATAGCACAACAGGTCACATTCAAACCAGTGCTGTCTACTAAGGAGGAAACACTTCCAGTGCTGCAGCTACCACTGCACTGTGACTGACAACAGATGTCCAAGCCAAGCCACCTGACCTTGATATGGTGGAACACTCAATGTGCCATCCAGGTCTTCCTTTTCCCCAGGGAGAATTCCAAGAAGGCTCTTGAGGCTTGGCAGCTTTCCACAGGGCAAAATCTCTACCATGTCGTTTATCAGAATCAGCTGCAAAGAATAAGTGATTTGTTAATGGGATCTGGCTCAAAGGGGAAAAAATGACCAAGTGACAGCAAGAGGAAATGTGTGTTTAGTGAACTGCTCAGATTTTAATCCCCTTCACTCAACTTGCTTTCCACTGCAACTTTCCTTCCTTCCTTCCCCCTCACTTCCAGTTCCTCATCAAGCATTTGAAACAAAGTACTGTATTGAAATAGATTTCTACAAGCTAAAAAGATGGAGCCAGATTCCTTAATGAATCCTATCCTTTCAGCCTCCCCTGGATTTCTATCATTCATTCAGTCCTTTATCCGCAAGTTTCCTCAGGACAAACAGATAACACAGCAGTAGAAAAGGTAACTAAAGCCACCCACAACCCCTAATCAAACAGAGAAATCCACAAAGAAACCCAAAATGTTTTCTCTGGGACACAAATACTTTCCATTTCAGATTCTAAAATAGCAAGGGCAGAGATGAGAACCAGAACTACTCCTGGACAGTAGCAGTACTATTTTCACCAAGACAAAGCTCTCCTCCCCAGCTGCATTTGCTGCTTCCTTCACCAGACAGCCAAGGAAAAAACAGACTCCTCTCTGCCACAGCACCACAGGATAGTTCACCTCTGCTGGGTCCTAACCCCTGGCTGACCACACACCACTCCCTGGCAGGAGCCACAGAACAGAGTTCTGGACTCTCTGGGGCTTTTTCTGACACATACATGACCTCACATTTACAGTCATAGAACTCTAAACTCCTAAGAGCTAAAGAGAGAGAAGTATAACCCTAGTTCCATCCACTGAATCTTCATCTTGGCTCCTCCACTAGCCTGCCAAGCTCTGGCTGAGCAATTGACTCCATTCCTCTCTGCCTCTCTTTGTGTACACAGTTACAGAAAAGCTCTCTTCACCTTCTCAGTTGTAAGTAAAACAACTGCCAAAAGCTTTAGGAATAACAATACACTTAGTTGTGACAGAATCCTAGAACCATCAAGGTTGGAGGAGACCTCTAAGATCATAGAATCTAAGGGTTGGAATAGAGCTTAGAGATCATCCAGCCACAATCCCTGCCCTGGGCAGGGACACCTCCTCACTACATCAGGTTGCTCAAGGCTTCATCCAACCTGGCCTTGAACACTGCCAGGGTTGGGGCACCAGCCACAGCCTCCCTGGGCAACCTGTGCCAGTGTCTCACCAGCGCTGAGCAGAAAGCAATCCCCTCCACTGACCTACTGGCAATGCTCTTCCCAGAGCAGCCCAGGAGGCTGTTGGCTGCCTCTGCAGTCAGTAACCTCTAAGCAACTGTTGACAAACTGCATTCCCTGTGTTAGCTGATATGCTGAAACAACCTGGCTGCAATTCACCTGAGCATATCAGCCTGCCAAGCATCTTCTGTAACTGCAAACAGATTCTTTTCAGCGATGAAGTGCTGAACTTCAGCGTGCAAGAGGATGCAGAGACCTGCATCAAACTCTCCAACGCAGGACCTGATCAGACCCAACTTAGACACTCTACGAAGAGGCTCAGTAATCCTGCAGGAGAAAGACCCACAACCTAGACCTGCTCTAGCACAGCACATGAAGAGACTGCTCCCCCTCACACCAGGAGGCTGATCAACAGGAGCCCAGCAGCAAGTAATGTGAGCAGACACTCACCCCGACAGCATGTGCAGCTGCCCCAAGAACAACACGGGAGATGAGATTCCCTGTGCTTCCCTTGGACTGTCTCACTGGTGGCTAGTGCAACACTGAGACCATCACTTCACTGGGAGGCTTGTGCCACTCCCAAGGATTTAACTAAAACTGGTTAGGAATCCTAACTCTAAGGTATCAGAAAGAAAAGGCCCAGGGGAATTCAAGGATGAAGAGAGAAGAAGTTTCCTCTCTAGCAACAGAGAGTGTCTCTATAAATAAAGCAATGGAATCCTAATTAACCAACCAGTTGACTGTACACAACAGGTCAGAAAACTGTTTCAGACTGTAAAGTTTACACATTACACGTTCAAACAATGCAATGGATACAAAGCTGGTGCCATGAGCTTACCTGTCTCATCAAGGGCATCAGGATTAACAGCAGTTAACACTCCATATCTTGTTCCCCAGGAATTCACATCAAAATAGACATTGCCTAATAGGAAAGAAGTGTTTAGTTGTACAGCAAAGATGAGACACATTCATGAGGAGATAATACTTCCTTGGAAGCAAAGCAAAATACCCTTCAACTCCCACTGTAAATTCTGATTTAGAAACTCAGGAATACTGCACAAGCAGTAGGAGATGCTCCATGTTCCCCAGTGCTGCAAGGACCTCAGAGCATGTCTCAAACTGCACACAGGCTGACTTTGAATCTGGAGACCTCTCCAGGTACTTCCCTGCCCATGCACAGACAGAATCCTCTCCCTGAGTGCAGCACAACCTACTGCTGCTCCAGCTACAGTGCACCCAAATCAGGGAGTAGAATCATAGAACCATCAGGGTTGGAGGAGACCTCTAAGATCACCCAGTCCAACCAATAACCTGTCACTACTGGAACCCCTAAACCCTAAACCAGATCCTCCAGTGCCACATCCAGACACCTCTTCAACACCTCCAGGGATGGTGACTCCACCACCTCCCTGGGCAATATCCCAGGGCCTCAACACCCTCACAGGGAAAACATTTCTCCTCACATCCAATCTGACTCTGCCCTGGCTCAGCTCAAGGCCAATTCCCTCTAGTCCTCTCCCTGCAGCCATGGCAGCACCTCTCTCCAACCCTGGCAGGGAGTTGCAGAAAGTGATACTAGTCCTGGCCTGGTTCCTACAGGAAACCTGGGGGAACCTCTTGGCTCTAAGCAAGAGATATGTATCTTCTGTGTGCTGTGAAAGATGTGCCTGCAATGCACAATGCACGGATTCTTTTAGCAGAGCTAGTGGTTGGAGAAGGATTCTAGAGGGAATGGCCTTGAGCTGAGCCAGGGCAGAGTCAGATTGGATGTGAGGAGAAATGTTTCCCCTGTTGTGGAATTGAGGCTCTGGGGTATTGCCCAGGGAGGTGGTGGAGTCACCATCCCTGGAAGTGTTGAAGAGGCATCTGGATCTGGCACTGGAGGATCTGGTTTAGGGTTTAGGGGTTCCAGCAGTGACAGGTTAATGGTTGGACTCAATTATCTTAGAGGTCTCCTCCAACCTGGATGATTCTATGATTCTCTGACATCCCCACAGGAGCTTAGACAGCAGTTCATTACAGCAAACAATTATATTCATTAATGAGCTACACTGAGAGTAGAAATCAAGGAACAGTTGTTCTGCCAACTCCTGTCAACACAAGCAAGCTGCTCTCACCCTCTCTGCTAATCAGCAAAGCCTGGCACAGGGCGTCTCATCTCATCCCAGCACAGGATGATTAGGAGCACGGAGTTCCTGACCATGTGCTGGACAAGGAGCTGCCTTGCCTGGATCCTTACCTTGTGGGGTTGCATAGGCTTGTCCCTTATCAATTATTGCCTGTACAAAGGAAACGATCTGCGGAATATTGTCCGTCACCCTCATGTACACAGTAGGAGGGAGGACCTGAAGCAAGGAGAGAGTGACATCTCATTAACCTGTATGAAACTCACTGCTGACAAGTCCCTTTGCTCTAAGAAACAAACTTTGAAGGACATTCTCCTCAATTTTGTCTGTAAATTAAAACTACAAATATCACAGAAATATCAGAAGCAGGATTTGGATCATAAGCCAGGTTGGATGTGGCCTTGAACAACCTACCCAGGGCAGGGGGTTGGGACTGTGTCATCTCTAAGCTCCATTCCAACCCCTAAAATCCTATGAGTCTGTGACTTAAAATATTACACACACATAAAAAAATACTTGAAGAATGGGCAAAACAAACACTAGTTTTTCCTAGTGGCTTATTTCTTTCTTCTGGCAAGGATTTAGAACAAGAAGGCAAGTCATCTGAAGTCAAAAACTTGATGTCTCCTATGCCTTGGATCAGAGTATTTCTGCATCGTAGTAAATACGGAACATATGTGAACCAAGGGGAAAAAGAGAGAGACACACAGAACCTGGCCCAAAATTATTGTTCGCATAGGGGGGAAAAAACAGTGTTCCTAAACAATTTAACTTTCTCACTCCAAAACTTGGGTTTGCTTCTCCATTTGAGCATTTGCACCTTTAATGCAGCCATGTCTTGCTTAAAGTCTTCCTCATAGACACGAGCGAGAGCTGCTGGCGACACATTCATCTGCAAGAGAGAGGCAGGTCAGGAAAGCACAGCTCAGAGTATCACAGAATCATAGGATCATCTAGATTGGAAAAGGCCCCCAAGATCACCAAGTCCAACCCTACCATGGTTACTAGACCATGGCACTAAGTGTCACATCCAGTCTCAGCTTGAAAACTTCCAGGGATGGTGAATCCACCACCTCCCTGGGCAGCACATTCCAATGCTTGAGCACTCTCTGCCTAAAAAATCTCTCCCTAATATCCAACCTAACCCTCCCCCAGCACAGCTTGAGTCTGTGCCCTCTTGTCCTGCTGCTGGTTGCCTGGGAGAAGAGACCAACCCCCACCTGACTCCAACCTCCTGTCAGGGAGTTGCAGAGGGTGATAAGGTCTCCCCTGAGCCTCCTCTTCTCCAGGCTGAACAACCTCAGCTCCCTCAGCCTCTCCTCGTGGCACTTGTGCTCCAGTCCCTTCACCAGACTCATTGCTCTTCTCTGGACCTGCTCCAGCACCTCAAAGTCTCACCTGAACTACTGAAGATGGCAATCTTGGATCAGACAGCAAGGCCTAACGGGAAGGCTCAGAGCCCCCAAGGTGAGGGGTCAGAAAGGCTTATTAATCCAACGTTCACAGGGAGGAGATGTGAGTTATAAATAGCTTTAAAGTAGTGTTCATTTACCCTTCTGAGCTTCCAAAGTGTTAAAACACATCTCTTAAGGGAAAGCAACCAAAGATTAATGTAATCAGCTCCTTCCCTGTCCAACTATTTCCCTTGTGAGAGGATCTTCCATTTGCAGTGACAAAGTGTGCCACAGGATGTGAAACCCATCCTAGTTCCTGGCAGGGAACAGACACCACCTCCACAGCAGGAGAGCTGCAGAAGGAGATGAGAGATTCACTTGCAGTGATTTAGGAAAACCAGCTGTTTCAGCAGATCATGGGCACTCATAGATCTCAACACTGCGAGTCAATCCCAAGCTTTGCCAGGTTTCTCAAGCACCTTCTCTGCAATTCTCACCCATGGAATTATAGGCAGGGACAGGATCTTCTAGCAGAGATAACAAGTGCAACCCAAAAGGGAAGGCAACTTGCACATACAATCCTAGAACCATCAAGGTTGGAGGAGGCCTCTAAGACCATCAAGTCCAACCATTAACCTGTCACTGCTGAAACCCCTAAACCTAAACCAGATCCTCCAGTGTCAGATCCATATGTCTCTGAAACACCTCCAGGGATGAAAGACATGAGTTACAGACTCTAAAAACAAGCAAAAGAGTCAAGATACAGAATAAAACACAACACATTCTTAGTACTTCAGGGTTCTAACTGTGGCTTTTAAAACAATCAAAACAAGAACTGAAATGAACATTCAGCTGGTAAAAGAAAGGCAGATTAAAATCCAACTTCCAAGCATTTCCAGCTCCAGTCTGACCATGATTTATCCCTGCACTGTAAACAACTTGACCAATGCCCTGTTTGCAAAGCTACCAGTGGTGGATGGAGCAGGGATTGTCATGCTGCTTTTGGGGTTGGATAGTGCTGAAACCAGCCTGACTCATCAGCCCCAAAGTTAAACATCCTGAGAGTGAGATGAAGACATGGTAAACCTGGTGAACAAACAAAGGTTACTGCTGATAACTTCTCCAAAGCTGCTGAGCTGGCACAGCCTGGAGACATCTCACTGACACTATACCAGCCTAGTCCTAAATTTCAAGGGTAGGATCTTCTGACACATCTCTTCTTGGGGTGTATGTGTGAGGGTTCCTCCCTGGAGTGAGGAAGCCCCTCAAAGTCATTCCTCGAGGCTGAGCCAAAGAGATTTGCCCATGGTCATTGACCTGGGTGAGTAATATCAATCTCTGCTTCATAATTGTCTTTGCTGCTGTGACACAATTGCTTTAATATTGCCTCAATACTGCTTTGTAGTGCACTGTGTCATACCAGTTCTTACCTCTCGTGCTGTGTAAAGTAATTCCGGTTAAACCTTTTGGTCTAATCATTCTCGTACAAATCATATCTATTTATCTAATATCTCTGGTTTGCCATCCTTGAACACAGGACAAAGTTGGACAAAGGTTCAGTTACACATGCAAAATCCTTTACACCCAAACCATGGACAAAGTCTGGGGCTGGGATTGGATCCAGACCCTCCAGGCTCCTCTCTGGGAAGGGGTTTGGAAATCCAGGAGATCCTTTCTGCCCCTTGGGACTCAGCAGGAGCATCTCTAACAAACTTTGTCTGGAGCCCCCACTCTGCCCAGGACATACTCAGTGTTGACTGCTCTGCCAGCCAAGCCTGATAAAGCTCTCCAGGGACCTCACATTGCAGCTAGATGGTGCTAAACACCTCGCAGGAGCTGCTCAGTGGCAGTGCTGCACACACAACCCAGCACAGAGCTGCCCCAGAGCTCACGAGCTGAGTCTTGGGGTAAGAGAACTTTCACTGTGCTGCTGACTCACCCTGGATTTCTGTTCCTTGTGACCAGGCAGGGGGAGCGGCAGGAGGCTCCTGGCCATGGGTGCTGCAAGGCAGCCCTAATTAATTAAACAAACATCACTCAGAGATTTGAGAATCAGATTAGTTGTTAGGAGAAATGTTTTCCCTGTTGTGGTGTTGAGGCACTGGGATATTGCCCAGGGAGGTGGTGGAGTCACCATCCCTGGAGGTGTTGAAGAGGCATCTGGATCTGGCACTGGAGGATCTGGTTTAGGGTTTAGGGGTTTCAGCAGAGACAGGTTCATGGCTGGACTCGATGGTCTTAGAGGTCTCCTCCAACACTGATGGTTCCATGAAAAGAACCCCAATCCCAGGTTAATTTTCCTATGTAAGTAGCTGTAGAAAACACCAGAAGTTTGGGTCGAAGACTGCAGCAAACACCCACCTCGCTGGCTCTCTTTATGATCTTGTCATCGATGTCTGTGATCCCCATCACCATGATCACTTCAATCCCAAAAAACCTCGTCATTATCCTTCGAATGATATCAAACCTCACATAGGAGCTGGAAGAGAAAAAAAAGCCATGAGCTCTTAAACATATAGCAGTAAGAATAACCTTAAGCAAAACCAACCAACAGCACTAACAGCCACAGAGGACAACATAAACACCCCAAGCTTGCAAGAAGATCTTCAGTCAGAACAGTCACCACCTGCACAAAAGTCAAGCCAATTTCCCTTGAACTGCCCTACCCTCTTCTGGCATTAGTGACACATTACAGCAAATTCCCTGAGTGTTTTCCTTTGTTGCATCTCTTTATTCAACCACCCAAGGGCATCACGAGCTCCAGTGAGCCAGGAGACTCTTTGGGAATGAACAGCACGAGGTAAGACACACAGATCAGGTATTCCAGACACACATCCCTTGGGCTTTGTACACTCTAACACAGCAGAAGAATGGGGAGAAACCGAACAGGATTCAAAGGAAGTTAGAGTCATAGAATTTAAGGGTCAGAACGGCCCTCACACATCATCTAGTCCCAAACCCCTACCCTG